GAAGAGTCTTCTGAGGATCCTCTGGGTGAGTTCAGATCACTCACAGTTGAGCACTTAACCATACGTGCTACCCAGGGACTCCCTCCCATGGTGAATACAACTATTCAAACGCTCAGGATATCAGGGAATCCTCAACTGTGTCAAAGACAATCATTTTTCAAGGAATTCAGCTTTTATAAAATGCACCTCCCACTCAGACTATAAGGAATAGAACACCTCTCTGCAATGATTATTCAGAAGGCATTTCAGAACTCCTAAATTAGAGTGTCCTTGAAAGAAGTGCTTGGATCTTATTCTTCTTTGGATCTTTACGACCTAGTACAGTGCTTGACACATTGCAGATACCCACTTAACTTTGGCCCAGTAGATATTCTGAAGCTGTGGACCTAATAGAGACTTCCAAATGCTTGAATGCCAGGCAAATTAGAATTTAATATATTTAGTAAAGCAATGCCACACTTACCTGTTCTCATGGAAGGATGGGCTATTCCATTTTAATGAATTTTCTACAAAATTGAAACTAAACAAGATCTTAAGTGTCAAAACCATGAAGTTGAAAAAAAAAAAACTGACTCAAAGTATTTATAAAATGTGACAGTCAGTGTCTTTCTTAAACTGAAAATATTAAATGTAATTTGACTTATAATGATTATTGACCAGGAATTCATTATGAAAATATTGGACTGGAAATCATTAGTCCCTAGCGTTTCTACCATAAGTGCTTTTAGGTTTACCCTGTTGCGATTGAGTTGATTCCAACTCGTAGTGACCCTATAGGACAGAGTAGAACTGCCCCATACTGTTTACAAGGAGCACCTGGATTCGAACTGCTGACCTTTTGGTTACCAGCCTTAACTCTTAACCACTACACTACCAGTGTTTTGTTTTAGGTTTAAGTGGGTACTTTTAGTAGTCTTTGGAGTCCCTGGGTAGTGCAAACCTTTAGCACACTTGGCTGCTAACTGAAAAGTTGAAAGTTTGAGTCTATCCAAAGGTGCCTTGGAAGAAAGGCCTGGTGATTCTGAAAAATCAGCCAGTGAGAAACCATAAGGAACAGAGTTCTGTTCTGACACACATGGAGTTTTCATGAGTCTGAATTAACTTGAAGGCAGAATTTTTTTCTTAAGAGGTTTTTTTTTTGCTGGTCAGCTATTATTAGGCACTTGTTTACTTCTTGGCATTACTGGCGCTATAATTACTGCTTTCATTAACTCATTACCACAACCCTCCTGCAGCCCCTCCTGGCTCATTTCTAAATTGTTGCTTATACAGGTAGTCCCCAACTTACAACAGGGTTCCATTCAGATGACTCCGTCTTAAGTCAGTTCTGACATAAGTCAATACCTCTTTTTTTTAAAGTTTTCATTATTATTGCCTTTTATTATCAGTGTTTTAATAAATCTTATCTTTGAACATCTGTGAGTGAACATCCGAGAATGATAACATCAGCAAATTACATGCTGAAACATTGTATGTAGCACATATTACTAATGATAAGAAGCCCCCCCCCAAAAAAATAGACAATCGTAAGTGCGGATCGTTGTAACTTGAATATATCTTAAGTCGAGGACTTCCTGTATTTGTCTATGGACTGAGAAATCAGATCTCATAAATGGTTAGCATTGTGTACAAAATAAGACTAAATGAATACAAAATAAAGGCCAGAACTACTTTCCTTTTAAAAGTCAATGAAATTCAGTGCATGGACTTTAGTTACATCTTTTGTTTGAAAACCAGA